GAGACAGGGATATAACTCAGTGGTCTAAGCGCCTGCCTGGCAAGTGCAAGAACCCAGGTTCAATTTCCAGTACTGCATGCCATGCTGGCTCCACACCATGCTGGCCCTGAAATTGAGCCTGGTAGCACAATACCTGTAATCCCAGTGCTGGGGAGGCTGAGGCAGAAGGATCACTTTGAGTCCAAGCTGTGTAATGAGACAACAACTAAAACTGTATAGTGCTGAGCAATCTGAGTGCTTTCAGATACAGCCTGACTGAAGCCTCACAACGACCCAGTCGCAGGTGCTAGTATGATGTCTCTGTACAGAGGAGGACACATGCTTTGGGAAGGGTGTCCCCAAAGGAAGACACGTACTCAGGGAAGTGGTATCCCCAAATCAGCTGGACTTTGGAGTCAGGTTCTTCCCATTAAGTCTCATACTTTTTTAACAAAATAAATTCATTCTTCATTACTATATTTGACCTTTTCTATTTGCTTTTATAGGTCAAGTACCGAGAAGAATATGAAAAGTTCAAAGCTCTTTATACTTTACCAAAAAGTGTTGAAGATGACCCAAACACAGCTCGGTGCCTCCGAGTGGGCAAGTTTAACATTGACGTAAGTGGCCCCAAAGGCCTGACTTCAGATTTGCAGTCAAGAAAGATCGACATGTGTGGTCAGTTCAGGCAGCTTCCATCAAATCATGTGGGCGGCCCCAGTACATGCATAGAGAAGCTGAGTCTCTCTGTTTCTGTCTATCTATCCATCCATCCATCCATCTATCTATGTCTGTTTCTCTCCTCTTTCTCTCTCTCTCTCTCTCTCTCTCTCTCTCTCTCTCTCTCTCTCTCCCCCTGTATTAAACTAGAAAGTAAAAAAACAACAACAACAACAACAAAAAACTAGAAAGTATCAGAGAATTCCAGCCCACCTTACCCCAAAAGCTAATTGTAAGCTACTTACCCTGACTTCTCTGCAATAGCAAGAAGGCATGCATTTCTTAATAGCTTTGCACAATTTTCCTTATAGCTGGCATGTAACTTTCACTTCACAGCGCCTGTACAGATCAGTTTATGAAAAGAACAAGATGAAAATCCACACTGTGCCTGATATGGTAGAGATGGTTACTGCCAAGGACACTCAGAAGAAAGTCAGCGAGGTTGATTACCGCCTGCACCTCCATGAGTGGATTTGCCACCCTGACTTACAAGTCAACAGTCACGTCCGGAAAGTCACGGATCAGATCAGTGATGTAAGCCCACTCATTGCTTAGGATAGCCCCCAACCCCTGTGCCACCCCATTCACCACCCTGAAGAAAAACGGCACCTACATGTTCACCCCTGCCTTTTCACTCTGGCCTGTGTCTATCCATAGTCTGACATATTCTGGTGCTGCTCCTGGAAGCAAGACTCTATGTGTGCTGTGTTTCAGCAGGGTCTTCGGTCTCATCAAACAAGGCCTTTTGCTCCTTAAGTTACCTGGCAGGGGTATGCCGATGTTTTTAGGTGTTGAAATTATGGTCAAATTTTCTTTCTGACCACTTGCATTTGTTGAAACCCTCTAGATTGTATACAAGGATGATCTTACCTGGCTGAAAGGTATAGGTTGCTATGTCTGGGACACTCCTGAAATCCTCCATGCCAAGCATGCTTATGATCTGCGAAATGATGTGAGTTTCCTTATTACTTATTTGTTTGTTTGGTATATTTGCATATCTAGGTATTCTAGGGTCAAGAAGTAAATATATAAAATAGGAACCCCTGGGGGCTGGTGAGATGGCTCAGTGGTCTAAAGCACCTACTTAGAACAAGCTTAGCAAAGCACAGGGACTGCGGTTCAATCCCCTAGCACCACATGCCAGCCAGCCCCGCCCCCTGATGGGCTGAGCTGGTCACACACACACACATACACACACATACATAAATAAATTATAAATAAATAAATAAATAAAATAGGAACCCTGCCACATACACTGTAGATTCAGTCATGTGGAAGATGGTTGAGATGGAGAAATGAAACAGAATAGCCATCTCTTGACAAGGCATTAGATGTGCCTACTAAACAGTGTGGTCCACCTGGACCATTGGCCTCTGGTAGGAAAGACACCAGTGGCTCTTCTCTTTACTGTCTGAAGTAGTTTGGCTACATTAGTGAGCACATAACTTTTATTATAAGAAAATTTCAGGGCTATGGGTATAGCTCACTGGTTGAGCACTTATCTAGTGTGTGTGAAGCCCTGGATTAGAACAACAGCAAAAGAAAGAAACAAATTCTCGTCTCCTTAGGGTTTATGGACTATCAATAAGATCCACTTGATCTATTAATAAAGGGCAAAAATGCCAACCAAATTGATGTTTCAATGAGAATTTCAGCAAGAGTTTAAATCATTCCTAGAATAGCAGCTATCAAGCCTCTTAGAAAACTCTAGAAGTCTCAAATGACTGTAAGCATCCATCACACTGTTATAAAATTCAAATCCATCGTTGTCTGTTGAAAAAGCGCTGATGCATGTACACTTCCTGCACCAAGTGCTCTGCGAAAATCAGCTGTCTTTGAATTTAGTAAATGATCTGACATACGCTTGTTGAATTCTTCTGGCAGATCAAGTACAAAGCTCATGTGATGAAAACGAGGAACGACTACCATCTGGTCACTGACACACCGGTCTATGTTCAGGCTGTCCAGAGCGGGAAGCAGCTAAGTGATGTACGTGCTCCCTGGGAAGTCACAGTGGATGGTAGCAAAGATGGGACTGACGCTCAATCAAAGCCTGGGCTGTGCCAACCTTCTCTAACTGGGAAACCAGATGTGGTGTCTTAGGAAGCACTTAACGTGCTGCCTCCTGAAACCAAAATGCTAAGCAGTTCGCTGGGTTGGAGTGTGCTGAATCTGTGGAATACTGTGTTTTAGAGCCCTCAAAGTTGCCTTTTGTATGCTTGTGTTATGAGCAGCATTTTACACTTTCCTACCTAGGCCTTCTAACAAGTAGAGCCAACTGTGGTAGAGTGGAAGCCAGCAGGTCTGATAAAGGACCGGAGTCCTGCTTGCAGGAAGCACGGAATCCTCCGCATCCTCAGCATCTTCCTGTGTAAAATGGGAAGGTGCATATAAAGGCCCACTGTACTGGCTGACTCAGAGCAGACAAAATGCTGTGCTCTTCAAAGGCAATTCATAGGTATAAATATTAGATTCTAGATCCCACTAGTGAGTCAGAGGTTGGTATCTGTTACTTGGGAATTTCTAGTGGTGAAATGCCAGGCTTCCTATCTTTCCGCCTGAGCCGTCTCTCCAGCATCTCGGTGTGGTGTCCACAGCTTGGCTCTGATCTTATTGGACAAGGCACAGTAATGCAGCACAGTTTCCTAGAAAAAGAGAAGCAGTAAAGCAGCAGGCTGGCTGGTGGCTGGCGCTCTCTGTCTCTCTGTCTCTCTGTCTCTCTCTCTCTCTCTCTCTCTCTCTCTCTCTCTCTCTCCCTCCCCCCCCCCTTAGGACTTGGGTTTGTATTTGCTTTGCTTTACCAGTGCTGCCACATTCCCAGTCTCACTCTGCTCTGTCTGCACCCAGGCTGTTTACCACTATGACTATGTGCACAGTGTCAGAGGCAAAGTGGCACCGACTACCAAAACCGTGGATCTGGACCGAGCTCTTCATGCATACAAGCTCCAGAGTGAGGTGAGCAGGGAACCCAAGAGTGCCCAGCAGAAAGCCAGGCCACTGGCTCCTGGAGAAGCACTCCGGTGTGCACAGCCTCCTCGCTGGACTGTGAAATGTAAATGCCATTACACTCAATGAGTTGGAAAAACAAAACCAGAGCAGAGCCTGTCTTCCCTCTTGGCTGGTGGGATTCTCATGCCAAGCAGTAAAACAACCAAAAAGAGAAAGGTTTTTTAAAGAAAGCAATATTTACACAACTCAAAGAAGGCCAATATGCTACCTCTGCTTTCAAAAGTCTTAAAATCAACATGACAAAGATTTAATTAGAAAAGCAACTAATAGTAAGAGATGAAGGTAGAAATTGCTATTGGAATTTAGAAAAAAAAGAACTTGGGCTCCACCCACATATTTAATCTTCCTGCTCTGTGCCAACTTAGGGGTATGTTTACTTGGGCTTGCATATTAAACATTATAAGTATCTTGAGTTTTAATTGTAAACACGGTTGTTAATCCTATACTCCCCTGAGAACCAGAGTATTTAAGGTCAGTGTTGGAAAAACACACACACACACACACACACACACACACACACACACACTCCTTTTGCTATGAATATATGCATCTTGACCTCTTCATAGCCTGGTCCAGTGTCTATGGGGGACAGCTGGCTCAAGGGTTGAATAGGCTTTGACTATCACCTGAGAACAGGACTAGGACAGAGAGAGCACTTGGCTGGCTGTCTTCTTTGTGTTCCCCAAATTCTAGTTAGAGGCTTCACAGTCAACTGAGTACATCTTTAGAAGCGTGAGATTACTTTCTACAAACCATTTCATTCATTGTTCTCTTTTTCCAAAACAATAGGTTATCAGTTATCAATCAATCAGTTAACAATAGGTTATCACATCTCCTGACTCTTAGCACTGATTTATGTGCTTCCTAGAGTCAGTTCAGAGCATAACATTAAGTCTGATCCAAACTCTTTTTTTTTTTTTTGGTGGAACCGGGGATTGAACTCAGGCCCTTGCACTTGCCAGGAAAGTGCTTATTCTACTGAGCCATCTCCCCAGCCCCTGATCCAAACTCTTAACATGAGCAGTATGTGCTTTATCCAGGACTAGGTACTTCGTGTCCTGTCATTTAACCTGCTCTTCTCTGTTCTGGCAGAATCTATACAAAACTGGCCTGCGCTTCCTGCCCACTGGGTATCGGCTTCCAGTTGATACGCCTCACTTCAAACACAACAAGGATATGCGATACATGAGTAGCTATGTGAGTGTTCTCTTTCTTGTTCAGTAGGGGTTAGAAGTTGGGGTAGTAGAGCTTGTACTAATTGACGGCTTATTCTCTCCTCAATGTGCATCCTAAAGGTTAATATCATATGATGATGGCATGGGGGAGGAAAGGCAGCATATTTTCTGGAGATGCTGTGGAGTCAGCTGCTTCTGCAGTCTGGCAGGGCCTGGGCAGCTCATTAGTTAGGGTAGGATGTTCTCGGGAGCCTTGGCTCAGGGTGGACAGCTGTCAGAATGCCTAGACCTCTGGCAGACTTAACACAGAAGCATCCTGAGCCACCATAAGCCATTTACTGCAGAGGCAACCTTGCATGCACACTAATGATGAGTGCAGAAGATAGGGTGCCACTGTGTGTCCCTCTTCTTGCCTAACTGCAAGAAGGCAAGTTAGACCTCATACTTACCTCACTTTTTATCTTCTGTGTCCTGCTAAGAGGAAAGTAGAGGGGAAAATAGGTTCTCACAACCTCTGCGTTTCCCACATGTTAGCCCTGATGTTAGCCCTTTCTCATTTTTCAAAATACCACTCTGGGACTTGATGCATTAGCCCCATAGGCAAGACCCGAAGGAGTATTGGCCGTGCCAGTGACTGTGGCTGCAGACTGCACTCAAGCCTTCCACTGGCCACAGACCAAGATCTCCCTTCTGTGATGGTCTTCAGAGTCTTAGGAATCAACCTTGCTGGCCACAAAGGGTCCCATGGCAGGTGGTCCTATACTGTGACCTCAAGGTGGACAGTTACAAATTTAGGAATCTAACACATTATTATTTTTTTAAGTGTAGTACAGGGTCTACGGGATACAGAGTCTTACTATGTAGGTCAGACTCATAGTGATTCTCCTGTTTTCAGATTCCCAAGTGCTGGGATTACAGGCACACACCACCATGCCCAGTCTCAATCGCTGACTCAGCGTGCCTTGGGGGGTAGGGCCAGCACAGCATGCTGGAAATCGAACCGGCCACTGCGCTCTGCCTAAGCAGGCACTTTGAGCTATTTGGCCAGCCCCACATTATTTTTAAAAAATTGTTTCAGAAGTCATTCATCAATCTTAAAAATATTCTCTTATTCCTAGTGTCCTAGTCACAATGAGGCTAAAAATGTAGGGTTTTTGTTTTGTTTTGTTTTGTTTTGTATTTGACATATCTTGATACCGGTTTCACTTAGCTAGGTTGAATTTTATTCTTTTCTGGACCTGGTTTCATCATTCCACAAATAATTTTCAAGATTTGGAATACTATTAAAGTTTTGTCAATGACTCAATACTTAGAGAGAAATTTTCAAATAAAGACATCTCTTTGACATCTCTTTTCCAATTAAGAAATGTAATTTTGATCTTTGTGTATCCATCATTGATCTCATTCTATCCTGATTTTGCAGTTCAAGTACAAAGAAGTCTATGAACACATAAAGGCAAATGGGTATACACTTGGGCCCAAGGACGTTCCATTTGTCCATGTCCGGAGAGTCAACAATGTTACTAGTGAGGTAGGTGAGCATTGATTCTCTTGGGGGGAAAAATAATTGAGTGTCAAAGACCACGACTTTGTTTAAAATGCATTAAGAAGAATGTACTGCATTTCAGCCTTAAGCTTACACACCAGCACTGGGTAAGACGGCTCCTTCTTGCCCCTGTTCTGGTGCAGGTGCTCCTTGGAAGTGCTTTTCTGAGTTTGGTAATGTCATCTCAGACACTCAGTTCCAGAGATGATAAGCCAATTTTTTTCTAAAGAAATAATTCCTTTTTTCATATTTATATTAAGAAACTTTAATAAAGTTACATTTCAGTCTGACCCAGAATCAAGTATTGGTTTGTGCATCTGATCTTACTGTGCAACCATGTGACAGGATGTAGCCAATTCTGCTCTCAGAATTCTTCCCCTAAATGAAACCAGTGTATTTTTCTTTTTGTCTCAATCTGAATTATTTTCTACATTCGTGATTATTTCCCTCCCTCCTTTCATGTAAAACGTTTGATTAGTAGCAGCAGATGCCCGCGTCATCCTGCGCTAAGCACTGAAATGGTTTTTCCCTCAATGCAGAGACTGTATCGGGAACTGTACCACAAGCTGAAAGACAAGATTCATACAACTCCTGACACACCTGAAATCCGCCAAGTCAAGAAGACTCAAGAAGCTGTCAGTGAAGTGAGTATTTTGTTAGGAGAAGGGACAACCATTTGGCGCGCCAACCATTAAGCCTCTAATGTGTGTGTTTCTGGGGTTTATTTCCTTCTCCTTTAGTTGATCTACAAATCGGACTTCTTCAAGATGCAGGGTCACATGATCTCACTGCCCTACACACCCCAAGTGTTGCACTGCCGCTATGTGGGAGACATCACCAGTGACGTAAGCACCTCACAGCACTCTTTCAGGAGGAGACTTACCAAACGGAAGGCTTGCTTTCTGCATGTAAAGCAACTAGGGGTCTTTGAACAGCTTTTTCATTGAATGCTTCTAATGTAAGTGTAGAGCTTGGAGAAAAAACACAGTAGTGTAGAAATAGTGATGCACAGTTCCCCAGCTATGGAAACAGTAGTAAGAGGACCACTGAGAAAATGCCAGAATTACCCCTGTTCCTGAACACTCAGAGACTCCATTCATGCTCAACACTGAGTCATTCCCAGGTCCTTCCTCAGTGCCTGCCTCTCCATCGTGTGTAATACCTTCCTCCTCCTCAAATTCTCGCTGCATCCACTAAAAGACCAATCTATTAAATCTGTGCTTTCCCTCCATCGATAGGATAAGAATAATGTAACTGCAGTATTCTCTCTTCAGCTCAGACTAGAGATATAAATTTTTTTAAAAACCTGTGGCTTTTATGAATGCAGGCAAACCAAGGGCATGGGGTGGACAAGTTGAACTAGGACAAAAGATACATAGTATTGCCCACCTGTGGAAATGCCTTCCAAGACCTTTACTGGTGGTCTGAAGCCAAGAATAATATCAAGCTCTAATATACTATGATTTTGCTTATACACATCTAGGATAAAATTTCATTTATAAGCTGGGCACAGTAAGAAATTAGAAATAACTAATAACAAAATAGAACAATTATAAAAATATATTAAAATTATTTAAAACATGAATCATTTATTTCTGAAAATTTCCATTAATTTTAAGACTATCATTGACAATAGGTAATTGAAAACTGTAAGAAACAAAACCATGGGTGGAGGGCATTTTATTTCAAAACAGAAGTGTTGCTACTCTGGTTTCTTTGTTCCTGACCTACATTTGTTCATGATCACCTGCCTCTGGGGGTTTGCCACACAGATTAAATACAAGGAGGACTTGCAGATCTTAAGGGGACTTGGCTGCTTCCTGTACGACACTCCTGACATGGTCCGTTCCCGACACCTGAAGAAGCTCTGGGTGGGTATATGGCTTTACGGTCCGTCACCATGCCTGCACTGCACCAGGTACCCCCACAGCATCCTCCTGGGGCTGGGCAGGGAGAGTTTTAGTCTGTTAACAACTTACAGAGAAACTCCATCAACCCACTTGGGCAAGTCTTGGCCTGCTTAAGTTGATTTGTGTCTCCTGTAGCAGATGGTGCTACAGTTAAATGTTAATTGCTTTTGTTTCTGCCTCGAGAGATCCATACTCAGAATACATGGTGGGGCTACTCATTTAGCACAGGCCAACCACCTGCATGACAAAATGACATGTAATCCTTTCAATGAGGCATCAACCTGTATTTCTGCTTATTTTAAAGTCTAATTACCTGTACACTGACAATGCAAGGAAGATGCGCGACAAATACCAAGTGGTGCTGGACACTCCAGAGTACAGAAAAGTGCAAGAACTGAAGACACATCTGAGTGAGGTAGAATGCTTTACCTGTCTAAGCATGATAAGAACAAACTGAGTCATTCAAAAAGATTCTTGGTTTTTTTCTCTGGTGATCAGTTTTCAGGCAACTATAGCAGGAAGAGTCCCTTCCGGCACTAACTGTAGAGGGGCCGTAATGTGTGAGCAAGTCAGTGGATATCATCTTGTCTGCTTCCTTGTTTTGTCCCCTTTGGTTAGATGAGAATATTAGTACTTGTCCTTCCTATGGCTAGGACTGATGAGCAGTCCGACATGAGTTTATAGATTTCAAAGTCCTTGTGTCTTACATTTGGAGAGTGGTCTCCAAATACAAGTTATTTCAAAAATTTGTCTCTCTAATTCTTGCTATCAAAAAGCCCAATCATGGCAATAACGTCTGAAAAGCCTTCAGTGTCTCCCTGCTTTTGTGCCCACCCAAAGAAATGCCACATTACTTGGTTTTGCATTCATCTGCCCACCTGGCATTGAGTCTCCTCATTTACTAAAGTTGCAAACTGATCTAATCCTCTGTCCTAGTCAGCAGGTTCCTTGGGGCTTAGACCCAAGCTTCTTTTTCATTTTTTTTCTTATTACTATGAGTTTACAATGAATAGCAACTGTATTCATTGTGGGGAGTTGGTACAGGTATATAACACATCATAGTTCTTATTTCCCGTTTCCCTCCCTTGCCCCCACCATCTCTAAATGCCTTTCTCATTTGCAAGTGATCTATCTCCCTCATTCCTATTGTCCATTCTTTATTTTGCTCTTTATTTATACTTTAGACTTCTCATACAAGAGAAACCAAGGACACTGAAGTCTGTATGTCTGATATATTTTACTTAACATTGGGCTGGGAGATAGCTAAGCAGCATAAGCACCTGCCTGGCAAGCACAAGGTCCTGAGTTTGATCTCCAGTACCAGGAAGAAAAGAGAAGGATTTTATTTAACATTATGGTGTCAAGATGCATCCACTTTCCTACAGATGTCTTGCTTGTCCTTTGCAGCATAAATACCACTATGTCCACTATGCATAGATATCACCTGTTGTACTGTCCATCTGTTGATGGATATATAGGGCTTTTCCAAGACTTACATATTATGAATTATGCTGCAATAAACATGGGTGAGCATGTATCACTGGGATATGATGTTTTTACTCCCTTTGGAAAGATAGTTAGAAGGGAAATAGCTAGATTGAATGGAATTTCTACTTTTTATTTTTTGAGGACTCTCCACACTGACTACCATAATGTTTGTACTAGTGTGCATTCCCACCAACTACTTAGGACTCCTTTTTTCTGATAGCCTCATCAGTATTAGTTATTATTTGACTTTTTGAGGATGACCATTCTATTTGGTGTACCCAAGATATGGACTGAAGGTTGAATGGGGGCAGTGGTGGTGGGAAAGGAGTAGGATTGAATTTCAGGACTGTCACAAAGTAGAGCCCAGGTTTGTGACCATTCTGATGTGGGAATGAGGGAGGAGTCTGGGCTGACTCCCTGAGATTCTGTCCAGATGACAAGGAGGTCAAAGATTCATTTAGCAAAACAGAAAACAGAAGCAAGCAGATTTGTATTAGAGATGGAGGATATATCTGAATTCTACACTGAACACATAAAAATTACTTAAATTACTTATACTTAGAAAGCTGTTGAAATTTTGGGTACTGAATTCATACAAGATCCTGAATATACAGATTTGGAAATCATCAGTCTCAAAGCGATGATGGGTCCATGGGTACAGATAAGTCACCTAAGGAGAATGTGCAGGGTAAAAGACACCAATCTTTAACTCCAACTAATTTCAGAGCCCTAGATGGAAGCCAAACTATACTCTTGAGGAATCAACCAAAGAGAGGCAAAGAAGAAACACACAGTTAGTGGTTTGGCAGAGGAAGTGAGGCAGGAAGTTACTGGCTTAGGGCTGGAAAATGCTTAATAAAGGGAAGAATTGGAGTCTGTTTGAGGATGGAGGGAGAAACCTGGAAAATAAATCAGATGATTTGAAGATATGAAGAAGAAGGAGGTAATTTTCAAGCCAGGGTTCTAGAAGGAACAAGCAAGAATGGGACCTAGGACAGCTAGAGAATGTTCCTTTCCTTAGTACAAGGGAGTGAGGGAAGGAAGATTCAGGTAGTAAATAAATGATTGGCTTATTAGGAAAAAAACAGGCTACTGCAGTAGAAAGGACCTTGCCTTCTTATAAATTAGCCATAAAAGTATCTGTAGGGAGTGTGCTAAGTTGGTGAAGGAGAACTGAGAGTGCTGACTTGTTTTGTGTCTAGCTGGTGTACAGAGCTTCAGGCAAGAAGCAGAAGTCCATCTTCACTTCAGTTCCTGATACTCCGGATCTTTTAAGGGCCAAGCGAGGGCAGAAGCTTCAGAGTCAGGTAACATCAGTAGTCAATAAAGAGTCATGACCCGCCACACTGGCATTGATCAGGGAGCTACATGACTCCCACCTCCCTGACCAGTCCAGACTCTTGCTAAGGCTGTACTCGTGCAGCTTCCTTGACTGTGCACATCAAGAAGGAATTTTCTTCTGGGAATGGTAGCCACACTGTAATCCCAGTGCTGAGAAGTTAGGTAGGAGGAACATCACATGTTCAAGCCCAGCGTGGGCAACTTACTGAGACTGTGTCTCAAATAACACAGGGCTGGAGATGTAGCTCAGTGTGAAGGGTCTGGGTTGTTCAGTCCCCAATACAAAAAAAAGCAGTTGTCTTTGGTTCCTTCATAATTATAGTTATATTTTACTCAAGCCAGGAGAAGGTATATGATTTTTTTCTAAACGTTATACAACTTTGACATTATATGAGTGCTCTTTAGATTCTAAGTAGTGAAAATGATTTTTTGGTCATTCTTATGATATATTTATTATCCAGAGACCAATGAAATCACACTTTATACATTCAGGCAAACCAAAAGAAATAGGATGAAGTATCTATCACAACCATCTCACTCTTCCATTGGCATTTTTTAATATGTGACTTTACACTGGGCCATGATAATACCAGATTACTGAAGGATGTCTATCTTCAAATGTCAGGCACAGAAGTAAAGTAAAAGAGATACATATAACCAACAGGAAATAAGTAGGCAAACAAATAGAACAAACAGAACAATAAGAAAACACTCCCCTCTGATTTAAAGGCTAGAAATGAATGAAAAGGACAAATGTTTCTTCATTCAAAGATGAAACTGTATGTTTCTTTATGACATTTCTTCATATTTTCTTATTTTTCAGTATCTGTATGTGGAACTTGCGACCAAAGAGAGGCCACATCATCATGCTGGGAACCAGACGACAGCTCTGAAACATGCCAAAGATGTGAAGGACATGGTCAGCGAGGTGAGATGGGGATTGGGCACTGGGGCACTGCACTAGAGAAAAAAACTTTGTTAGATACTTCACCTGCTCCCTGTGACTAGAGTCTATGACTGTGAACTGTACTCAGCATCCCCAAAGGATAAAGGAAAGCTCTTCTCTAAAAGTGTGTGGTGCACTGTTTGATGCACAAATCTGTAACTCAGATACAGTTGGGGAAAGTAACAAAATTTAACTTAAGTTTGACTCTTTCTACTTTCACTCCTTAGAAAAAGTACAAGATTCAATATGAAAAGATGAAGGACAAATACACCCCGGTTCCAGATACACCAATACTCATCAGAGCCAAGAGAGCCTACTGGAATGCCAGCGATGTAAGCAGCCCTTCCTTCTTGATCCTGCTGTTATAAGGAGAGCTGTGGTTGAAGTACTTAAGAAATATAAGATATTCCATCATTCCTTCCCTTCAAAGTCATGGCCCACATCATGGATCAGGAAAAAAACACCAAGCAGTTTTAAAAATCAAGCAAAGTAGCCGAGAATAGTATTGGGAGATGCTAGAAGCCTGTATATCTCAGCTCTCTTCTGGACAAAAACACGACCCTCTCTTTCATTTTTGTGCTAGCATTTCCTAGGGATACTTGGCAATTGACTTATCCATGAAATCATGGTCTTGGATTCAGACAAACATACATTCAGTTGATGATGCTGTCATTTTCTTACTCTGTGGCTCTGAGTAAGAAATCTGCCTGATTTATCTCTTCTTATATGTCAAATGAAGATGAAATTTGGGGTAATTAAATAAGACTGCACAAACTGGGCATAGTCATGCATGCCTGTAACCCCAGAACTCAGGAGGCTGAGGTAGAAGGATCACTGCAAGAGTGAGGTCAGCCTGGGGTACATAGTGAATTCAAGGCCAGCCTGTACTACATAGAGAGAACCTGTCTCAGATAGATGATAGATAGATAGATAGATAGATAGATAGATAGATAGATAGATAGATGATAGATAGATAGACAGAAAGATAGCACAAGAAAATTTATATAATATCCCTAGCATTCTATCCTGTTCTTAATTGATCCTCATTGAATCTTGTGAGATGTGGTAGTTGGTAAAATTAGAAGGGATGAATTTTCGTATCTTGTATTATGTGACCAAGTGCAAGTTTGCATTTTGACAATGATAAGACTATCTGTCAATAAAAATATGAAATCAGTCAGTCTGTAGAAGATAGCCAGCTCTACTAGTTTTGTGTCTCAGAGCTCGACTACACAATTCACTGTACCCATTGCCAGAACTGGAAGCCCTCATGGTCTGAATATACTGAGTCTGAACCCCAGCCCAAGGCTCCAGCCAGCCCTACAGACCTCGAGTATACAAGGTAGCCCTAGAATCTGAAGACACCTTACGGTGATAGCTGTGATCTGGATCAGTTTTCATTTGTAGCTGTAGGAAGTCTACTAGTTGGGAAGATGCAACACCAGATAATGCTTAAGATGTAAGCTTAGGGAAAAAGGTATAAGCTTAGCAAATCATATATTCTTAAGACTTGTTCCTTAGGACATTTTTAGTCTGCTAACATCCCTCATCTTTATCATTCAAAATTCTGTTGAATATTAATTTGTACCAAACTTAATTTGTATCACTCAGGGGAGGTCACACAGTGAAATTGGTCCCAGGGGATCATTGTGTCCACTGGACAGCTCCATCCTTGGGCTTCCTCAGCACAAATTCTGATTAGCTCAGAGAAACAAGGGTGGTATCATGTTCAATTCAATATATAACCATCATTGCCATAATAACCTTAGGAGATTATCTGTCTAAAAGACAAAGCATTTTTAAAAGGTAGTTTCCATTGTGTGTTTACTGAGCTACCCCAAAAGAAAAAAATGTGAATAACTGCTGAAAGATCACCTATCTTATGTAAATGAGATGAACCTTCTATATGACTGTTAGGTTATAGTTAGAATCAAAGCTTTCTCTTTTGAAATATTATGAAGATGAGGATTATAATAAGATCTCTGAATTTCTTGGTGTAGCATCACTGTGAAATTAGAAAGTGAATCTCTCCCCTTCCCCTGTACATTGATGTGTCTTGAGATCAACATGGCTGTTTGTTTTTCTTCTTCTCTTGCCAAATATGGAATTGTTTTACATTTCCATAAACGTAAGTCATCTTAGGTTTACACAAAAGTGGCAAAGATCATACAACAAGTGTCCATAATCCCCATAGCTAGTTTTTATTGTTAACCCCTTATATTAGCATCATGCATTTGTCACCACCAATAGAGCAAGTCTGGTGTAGTCCTCCTATACTAGCCCACACTTTGCTAAGTCTTATCACTCATGCTCAGTGCCCTTTTTTCTCTTCTAGGATCTGAAATGCTTCTAAATTTCTTCTTAAATCTAATCATGGAAAAAACTAAAGGAAAAAAGCTTAAAAGAGCTCAATTACATATTGTGGTATTTTTTCATAACCCATGTGTGTTTTTGTTTTTTTTTTCTTTCCAGCTACGCTACAAAGAAACATTCCAAAAGACCAAAGGGAGATACCACACTGTGAAGGATGCTTTGGACATTGTTTATCATCGTAAAGTTACAGATGATATCAGTAAAGTATGTCCCTAGAGACTCCTCTTTGTATTGGGCTCTAGAACCCACCTTCTTTGTGGGTTGGGCTGGGTGAGATACTTGACGTTGAGCCCCAGCACCTTCCCACTAAACTACATATCCAGTGTCCCTCCCCCTTTGACGTAGGGTCCCTACATGTCTAAGTTGCTTAGGCTGGGTTCAAACTGGAGATCCTCCTGCCCCGGTCTTCCAGGGTGCTCGGATTATAGACATGCACCACCATGCCTGGCAGTAGCACACCATTAAAAAAAAATAAAATTACAAAAAGCAGTCTCCCTTTCCAAAGCTCCAAAAGGAAGTAAATGTTCTTACATTAACTTTAGTGGGACTTTATGGCTTCTTTGTATTTTTTTTTTTTTTTATGACAGGTGAAATACAAGGAGAAATACATGAGCCAGCTGGGAATCTGGAGGTCCATTCCCGATCACCCGGAGCATTTCCACCACCGGGCAGTCACAGATGCAGTCAGTGACGTAAGCACTCACACCTTCTATTCTCACATAGAATTTCATATTCCTGTATGAATTATGAAACCTGGTGAAGCATTTGCCCAGATTCTAGATCTTATGTATGGATGTTCAGCCACAAATTTCAACTGCTAAATGAGTAAATCTCAATTTCAAAGAAAGAAAAATATACTCAAATTTTTAAGCTTAATTTTTCTTCTAAATATGTGATATTACATTACTGGAAATGCTATACTCCATCTATGAAACAAAAAGCCTATTTTTGATCCATTGATGAAATAATTTAAGAGAGCTACTGTGACATATAACAGTGCTCATCTAGAGAGAAATGTCACCTCTCTCTAAGAAAATATAGTTGCTAATGATATACTCACTAGAAGAGTATGTGTTAAATTTGAATTACTTTAAATAGTAAAAATGAAAATTTCTACATACTATAAATAATGCATCATAAAATAAGCAGGTATCAATATTAGTAGAAGCATATTAAATAGCAGTTTTAATAATTCATTGTTTTTTGTAGTTTAGGAATCATAGCTCCTAACCTAAAGCTATTTGGATCTGTTCTTAAATCCTTTGATGATGTTCTTTTTTTTCCAGGTAAAATACAAAGAAGACCTGACCTGGCTCAAAGGCATTGGCTGCTATGCCTACGACACCCCTGACTTCACGCTGGCTGAACAAAACAAGACCCTCTACAGCAAGGTACACCTTCTCCAGAATACCTGCATTCACTCAGCGTCTGCTCCCACTCACAGAGACAGTATCACTGCGGAAATAGCCTATCTTATTACTTCGGTCACTGCTGAGACAAAACACCTGACACCCACAAATTAGAGGCATGGTTCATTTTGGCTCAGTTTATAGAGGTGTCAGTCCATAACTGGCTGACTCCAAGGCAGGGTGCCATGGCATGAAGGCATCACAAGATGAAACAGTCCTTGGCAGGGCTGCAGGAGCCAGAACCTCCCATCTGTGTTTTCCCCCCAAGCTACAAGCTTTTTGGGTGTTGCCACCCACACCCATGATGGGCCTACAAGTTATTCACACCCAGCACTAGCCAATCAGTGGGCTGATTTAGTTCTACCACCTTCAATCCATATTCATACACACTTAACCACATTCACATACTGGAGCCAGTGACCTCTGGAAAGCCCCACCTATGAGGAAAACATGAGGCTTTGAGAGGACATCTAGATACAAGCCTTTCATATGTCATAGACTTCTGTATTTCTGTCCCCACCCTCACTTCTAGACTTTATGATTGGATTATACACTGAACTATTCACTATCTAGGACTTTTTTTATATTGACTTCGTTGAAGATAGTTTATTTCAATTTATTTGACTTTGATGGAAAGCCATCTTGGTAAAACTGCTCACAGCTATTACAGAATCCCCTCCATATTAATATGTCTCTGATGATTTACCCTAACAGAGCTGATCTATATGGTAGCAAACATAAAGCAGGGGTACTTTTATCTACAATGTACAACTTTAAGGATTTTTTTTTTTTTTTTGGTCCTTGCATGCCTTCAGGGCACGTTGGCCAGCGGGAGAGTTTTGATGTTCGAACTCCAGCCCCCTGAGGCTGACAGCTTTGTGGAAACAGCCACTTAAAGGACTGAGCTAGGCCCAGGCTCCTCACAATGTACAACTTTAGAAAAATCAAATTCTTACAGACACGCTTTCCCATTTATAAATTATAGCAATTGAATTTTCTTCCTTTGAATTCTGGAATAGGAATCACCCAACCATTTAAGATACATGCCAAATAGTAGACTTTTTAGATTTTCTGGGCCAAGTTCATTCTAGTATATATTGTTCTTTGTGTTTTACAACTCTTTAAAGTTGCAAGAAATCACACTTAACTTCTGGGGTTCTTTCAAAATAGGTGATAGATAAATAGGTCATAATGTAACCCTACCTTATAAGAATATAATTAATTAGTCATTAGAACACTATATTTAAATTAATGAGTTAAAACATGAAAATAGCTTCAAAGTATAATAACATATAGAAACAAAAAGAATTTGATTTAGATTCTAGCTCCACATGGAAAACAGATCTATTTGAGATTCATTCAGTGAAAGCATTCTTTACAATGTATTTTGAGGCTCCTTTTCAAGATGTCTAGCTAGGGCTGGGTGTGGTGGTACACGCCTGTCATCCCAGCACCTGGAAGGCTGAGGCAGGAGGATCTCTGTGAGTTTAAGACCAGCCTGGGCTACAAAGTGAGTTCAAGGCTAAGAATGTGTAGGCCCAGTTTTTCCCAGTACATGGCATGACTCTGTAGTTCAGGGTGAGATCGTGTCTCAAAGAGACTAAATAAGAAAATAAATAATATTGGCAAGATCTCCAGCTAGGTCTACCCTTCATTGCTTTGGGAAATGGAGTAAAGTTTAATAGATGTCTGTACTTGCTGGTATTTACTAACAAGTAAACGTACTTTTATTAATGAATTACCATAGTCATATAAGTAGCATGTTTCATTCTTAAAGTATGATATGCTATCAGTAATCATGTTCTTTTTCCTCCAGTATAAATACAAAGAGGTATTTGAAAGGACGAAGTCAAATTTCAAGTATGTTGCTGACTGTCCAATCAACAGACATTTCAAGTATGCAACTCAGTTGATGAATGAGGTATGTATGAGCTAATTCGATGAGGAACATTCAACGTCTTTAAAAAGTTTACAGTTATTTGATTAAAACCCAGTATATGGCATGACAGCAAAGGCATCCTCAGTGTTCCTCCAAAATAGATATTTGGAAGGACATATCATGTCACCATAGAGAGCATATGTCAAAAACCATAAGAAGAAGCAAAGACCCAAAGTTGAAGGTTAATTTAATACCCCTTACAAAATCACCAAATGACAGTTGTTGGGGGAGCTACCCTAGGGGAAGAGTTGTGACTCATGCATTCTAATATGTTGCCAGGGCAGCTCCCTGTGTATTAGTGCATATAGGTATCCATCTACACCAAGTTTTTCTGCATATGCTGCCCAGTTTTTCTGTAACCATCTTTGCAATAATTTAATTCAAAATCAATGAAATAAGCTAGATATGAATTTACTTATGGTTTCATAATACTTATATGGTTTTATAACAAAATAATATTTAAATTTCTATTTTTGGATTTATATGAAATTATATGTTTTTTTATGTTTTAAGGGATTGTTAGTAAGATTTTATTTCAGAGGAAGTTTCTTTCATTAACAGAAACACAACATAAATCATAACATTGCAAACACATGGTTGTGCTATCACACACACACATACACACACACAAATGAAACTATCAGAAATGCCTTCACTTCTCTGGTATCAAATCTTCAAACTTCACAGCATCTTTTTTCTCTCCTATCTTCTTTTTTTTCCCATAATTTTATAGAGAAACAAATAGCAATGAGACAGTTTCAAATCAAATTGGTAGGACAGTTTCAATAATTAACACATTGCATATTTTCTTCCTAGTGGTTAATTGCTGTACAAGATGCGGACTTGATATCCTATTTACAAACACCATTAGAACAAATCCTTCTATTCATTAAGAGAATGTAACTATATATCTATCCTAACCATTTTGAATACACAGATACAAAATGGACATTCATCTGCATCCCTTTTTTTGTTTAGTTCCGTTATTTAAATATTGAAATTATATGTTTTAAAATGTTAGGAAATTAGTTAAATATATCTCACAGTGAAATGTTGTCAATGGTATACATATATATTTAAATGTATGACATTTTATTGTTTCTTTCTATTTTATTTTAAATTTCTATGTAGTTCATCTTCAGTAGATTTCCAAGATGGACATTTCAGAAGAATTGCTGTTGGTAGCTTCCTGGGAAGGCAGTCTTGATATGGGTTGTTTCTATTGTTCTATTTAGCAAAAGATCTTTAGTTTTTTTTTTTTAATTAACTAACTTAATTAGCGTCCAGCTATGTCAGAAGACTGCACCAATTTTTCCCTGAGTGTTTCAGCATAAGCAATGACATTTGTATTTTCATATCCTTTGACGGTAAGCCTGAAGCTCATTAGTACCTTAAGTATAACGTAAGATGCCCTGAAACCTAACTTTGCTAATAGCGTCCCATGAAGACGGCAAATGTGTAGGCACAAGGGGCTCCAGTTTCAACTTCACAAATCTGATCTTTCTCAGGCTCCAGCCCTCTCCAGGTGATCGTCCTCCACTAGACAGTCTTTGCCTCCCTGTTGTTAGTGTCTTGCTTTGGGAACTTACTCTTAGAATTGACATGTTTCTGACTTTCTGGACTATTTAACCTGGCACATTTCTGTGTAGTCTTGAAGTTTTCCTCCTGCTATAATTGACTATGATGTTTGAGCAGAAAAAATACAGAGCTGATTATGAGCAGCGGAAAGATAAATACCACCTGGTAGTGGATGAGCCTAGACATCTGCTGGCTAAGACCGCAGGCGACCAGATCAGCCAGGTACTGTGACGGGCTGGCCAGATGGCCCAGGCAGGACTGTGCTCCAGTTTCTCATGAGGTGTCGTCCCGTCTGCTGCAGGATGTCATAGGTTCTGCCTATGATATTGGGCTGTACTGTCTCAAAGTATCTGTCTAGCCACCCAAAGAGCCGGTGAGCTACTTGGGTGAGCCAGTCTTCACTCTGTGCCCTCACCTGCGCAGTGGTGAAGACAAATAGACAAGCCGGGTCCTCACAGAACTTGTTTGTGAAAGAAAGCCATTAAAAAAAAAAAAAAAAAAAAAAAAAAAAAAAAAAAAAACTTCTTTGTAAACTACAACTCTAGACTGTGACAGGACTCCTTATGGTTCCAGTAATGTCTTCTCTACATAGCAATTTTGGTTGTCATTTACATGAGGTTAGCTATATATCTCTCCCTTCATGAGGACTATGACAGGCGACTGCAGACACGCAGTCACTGTGCCTGCCGGCATTTCACACGTTGGTGTCTTCATCCACGCAGCTCTGTGAGCGCACAAAGCATGCTGCCTACGTCTCTTCACTCAGAAGTGACTGGGATATAGCGCTGTGTTCCCTTCTGTCCTCATAAGTCTCTTTTGTGCTTCACTGCTCTTTGCATGGACAGAGAAAATATAAATCTAGTGCCAAGATGCTTCTGAAACAAGGATGTAATGAAATTCTGCGTCCAGATATGTTGACTGCTCTCTACAACACACACATGTGGAGCCAGGTAATGTCTGGTGCAGCGTGAAGAAGGAGACGTGGGCTTTAGGTGCATTCCTTCCCGTGCTTCCACTGGCCTCTCTCCCTGCCCCTGCCCCTGCCCCTGCCCCTGCCCCTGCTGGATTCCCGTTCCGTATTACTGAGTCCTGAGTGTGGCCATCGCTCACACAGCTGACACCTTGGGCACTCCTAGCAAGATTAGCTGGACTCTCAAATGTTACTTCCAAGCTGGTGTAACACCACTTTATATGTTTGAGTATTTGCCTCAAAGAAGTAGATTCCTTAAGGATTGAGGCTGCCAGGTAGATTCAGTAGCGTTTAAAGCTCTGATTAATGTTTTCATCTGATTCTCTCGTTGTTCAGTTATCACAGCAGCTGTACCATTCCAGAGAAATGCAGGCCACCAGACCGTTTTTTGGGACGTTGCACGTACCCATGGTGCCTTTTGAGGGTGATACTGAATTTCTCGGTTATTTCCAGGACATCTTTTTTGCCACACACTTTTTTTTTTTAGGACAGGGTGTATAGGGTATACAGGGTCTCACTGTGGAGATCAGACTCATAGTGATCCTCCTCTTTTCAGCCTCCCAAGTGCTGGGATTACAGGTGCATACCACCACACCCAGCCTCAATTGCTGTCTCAGTGCACCCTGAGGGCAGCGCCAGCACTGCAGGCCTGGGGATCGAACTCCAGGCCCCTGTGTCTGCCTACGCAGGTGCTTTAGTCTGCTGAGCTATTTTGCTGGCCCTTGCCACACACTTGCAAAAGGTGCTGCTGATAATGTTGTCTTCACACAAGTACACCTGAAACACACACTACTGTGTTTCTGTCAGAGGCAAAAAGGCAAATAGAGAACAGCAAGCAATGGAGCAAATTGCTAATTATCAGACATGATATTAATTAAGTGCCTTTTTCCAAACCAAAAAGTGAATTTTTTGTTTGGTTGGTTTTGATTTTTTTTGAGACAGGGTCTTGCTATGTCATTCATACTGGTCTTGACCTCAGTATGTAGCTCAGACTGGCCTTGAACTTGGGGGATCCTCCTGCTTCAGCCTCCAGGATTACAGATATATGCCACTGGGGCTGGCCCCCAAAACATTTGGAAGTCCATCTTTTGTATCAGTCCCCATTTTACCGTTTTGGTTTTCTATCAGACCAACCAGAGGATGAGGGTGAGCTCCTCCGTCAACATCCTGTGTGCCTGAGCCTTTTCCTTGGCCTTTGTATGACCATTAAGCACCTGTGCATGAAACTTACTGCTCTGTCTGTATCTGTCTTGCTTCAAACCGCTTATGTGCATGTAAAAGTGATGATTTGGAAATTTAAAAACAACAAATGTTTTTATGATACATGCTCTTAAATAATATTTACCATACTCATGTTTTATTTTACATCTATATTTCATCTCTGGTATGGAAAACATTCTGAGACCACTTATAGGGTATAAGTGAAACAGTACTAACAGAGTACAGAGACTAAGGTTTTTTTCCCATTTGGTACCTGGAGTCTAACTCAGGGCCTTGTGCTTGCAGGCAGGGGCCTGTGCCACTGAGCTCTACCCCGGACCCCAGAAAATAAACTTTTAGTCCTGCTGTGCAGCCCCGGCCATGAGCCTTTGGCTCAGTCTCCTAACTTCTCAGGCCTCAGTTTGTTTCCATGTGTATAAAATATGTTGGAAAATATTATTATTCTTATTCTCTGTTTACTCTACCACACTATTCCTATCAAATACAAGCAAACATGTCCAGTTAGGCTTTAAAATAAAAGTTCCCCTGACACCATCTCCCTTTCTGCCATTTCATTTAATTTCTTAAGATTTAACGCATCCTTCTCTTCTACAATCTAGATCAAGTACAGGAAAAATTATGAAAAATCAAAGGACAAATTCACTTCTGTTGTGGACACTCCAGAACACCTACGTACTACAAAAGTCAACAAACAAATCAGTGATGTAAGTACAAGAAACCCTGAGCAGGTTCTCAGCCTCAGGGAGCATTTGAAATGTGAGGGGCTGCTTTGGATGGTCCCACGTCTGGCAGGTGACAGCTGCTTAGTGGGGAGAGGCCGGGAGGTGCAGGTCTGCTCTGTGCAGAGCTCTTCCATCCAAATTGGTGGATAGTCCAGTTGAGAACCTGCAAATATGAACTAATGGAATTCAGTTTTTGTCATATCCACCTTCCTGGAAAAGCTTTGCATTTGTATTTTCACATCATATCATGGGAAATATAACATTTGTGCTTTTTCATCTCCTTCAGATACTTTATAAATTGGAGTACAACAAGGCCAAGCCCAGAGGCTACACCACCATCCACGACACGCCCATGCTGCTGCATGTCCGCAAGGTTAAAGATGAAGTCAGTGATGTAAGTCTCAGAGCTGCATGTCCTCTCTCTTCTATGCTGCTATCTAATGTGACAGAACCGACTCCGGCTCCATTACCTGTTCTGGAGTTACAACTACCCAAAAGCCTAATGCTTTACAATGACAACCAGCTGTTTTGCTGTGGTTCTGAAAGTTGACCAGGAACAGCCGAGGAGTCCTATTCTCCGTGCTGTTGGCAGACATCTGAGGTCCAGCTGGGCCAGGACAACCAAGATGGCTGCTCCACAACAACCAGTCCCAGTGTTTGAGAACCCACCAAGGTGCTGTTAAACTGAAAAAAGATGCTGACAGAGTGTGTCAGAGAAACTTACTGACAGAAGCACCATCCTAGGAAGCAGCAAGGTCCCTGCATTTTGGGCCAGAAGGAAAGAAGCATGTATTGGTCAGGACAAAAGAGACTTCATCCAAGCTGGAAAGTACCTGGTTTCTCGTAGACAAATATCCAAGTGTCAGGCTCACTTATGAGGATCTGATTGTGAAGCCACACATAGCACTCTAATTGTTTTGCCTCTTTATGTACCAGAGACGCTGCAGGAAAAATTGATCGGAGTTAGTCTGGGATAATCATGAGGGTTTATGGCTCAAGATGGCTGCAGTCGTGTCAAGCTGAATCTGCATAGTGCTCCACTCATGTGGCTGGAAGTTAGTGAGAGCTACAGGCCGGGAGTGTTGCTCTTGCATGGATAGAAACCCTTCCATGCAGCCTCAACACATAGCTTGACCTTCTCACAGACAGGGCTGGGTTCCAAGAGCTGAAAATCAGGCTTTCATATCAGTTCAAGGCTACTCATACATTTTCAGATATTTGGCTTGGTTCTGTTCTCTTATGCAGAGCCCCATTAGCACAAAGGTTTTGTCTCATTCATCATCACTTTCCTAGAATCTGCACACAGAAACTAATCTGGATGGATGAGTGAGGCACCGAGTGGACGGTGGATCTCCTAGGCAAATATCAAAGTGTCAGGCTCATTTATGAGGATCTGATTTTCTTGATTGAAAATTATCAGCCTTTTGGTTGATTAAAAAACAAAAAGCAGTATTCAGAGAATTCCATGGTGACATGAGCTCTTGGGCACCAGGGAGAATAGTAAAAGTAACTGTGGAATAGCTGATCGCTACCCCAGAGCCACGGCTGCAGCTGGAGCTCAGAGATTCTCTGATAGATGAGCATCTGCGCTGCTGACCTGGGGTCACCATGAATAGCAGTTGAACGCATTTCAGCATGTTGAATGAAGAAGGCAGATATGGGCGAGCATAACGCATCTCAGGAATATGAGATATGTTGAAATACATTTTGGTGCTATATACAAGACTATCTGGTGTGAAAAACACCTATCATATAGCTTCCTTGTGTGGAACACTGCATTTCCTAACATTGTAGAGGGGAGAAACATTTCTATATCCTTTTGCCCAAACTTTCTAATTGTAAAAATAGCCAGGTATCTTCATAAAAAATATTAATTTCCAGGCTTTTCCCCTAAAGGCATTGGTGAGTAGGACTAGATCTATAGTGAAGCCCAGAAAATTGCAGATTCTTATAATCAATTTAGTACACCTACTTTGGCCCTTTTGGAAAAGTTTCTGTTGTCTTAAATCACATTAAAACCTAGAGTCCTTACACCAAAATTAATAAGAAAACCCAATGGAAATCAGGAGCATCCAATATGCAAGAAGCAAAAGTGGGGCGATCTAGAAGTCCCAGGAAGATGGGGGAGCATCCTTCCCTTCTATCCTAACCTCCACACACCACACCTCTGCACGCCTCTCTAGTCCTAGCAGTAGTGAGGAACAGATCCACCGTCCACTCAGCACCTCACTCATCCACCCAGATTAGTTTCTGTGTGCAGATTCTGGGAACGTGATGGTGAGTGAGACAAAACCTTTGCTCTAACGGGGCTCTGCGGAAGAGAACAGGCAGGTGAATCATCACAGTGAGCCATGAGAGCAGTGAGAAATGTGAGAGCAGGGAGAGAGAAGACTCGAGTGTTGTTCTGGTGAGCTGGCGCACTGCGGCTTCTCTGCTATTGGCAGTTTTCAGGACGCCAGGGAATTAGGCTTTTCTGACTTGGAAAAGGGACTGTGCATGGCTAGCTGTCCAGTTGGGCCTTCCTCACAACCTTGTGGAGGTAAATCCCTCAGCACTACTAATGACTGCACTGGAAGTGCCCCAGGAGCTGGCCTTAGCATCTGAGACAGGACCATGCATCCTCCATAGATACATTGTTTCTTTGCTGCAGAATTTATGAAAAGATCTTATTATAGGAAGCATTGTGTTTTAATTTCTTAGTTTTTAAAATGCTTAGTAGGCTGCTACAGAAAATGATAATTGTTACTCTGTTTCCTCCCACAGCTCAAATATAAAGAAGTTTACCAAAGAAATAAATCTAACTGCACCATTAAACCAGATGCTGTTCATATCAAGGCAGCCAAGGATGCCTACAAAGTGAACACCAATGTAAGTTCCAGAAGTTTCTCTGAGCTCTTACAGCTCCTACTTGTTAATATCAAAATGGCAGTTAAATTCCAGCACGAGGTTGGGAGTTTTAGCCACAGTCTTAGCCGCAGGATCTTGGCCTCTTTCCACATCTCTTCAGGTAGTTGAGCTCAAGTGCATGCACATTAAGACTTAGGCCCTAGGAGGGCTAGGGAGATAGCTCAGTAGAATAAGTGCTTGCCTGGCAAGTGCAGGGTCCTCAGTTCAATCCCCGGTACTGCAAAATAAATAAATAAATAAATAAATAAATAAATAAATAAAGTCCTAGGAGATAAAAGCAAAATGATGCCTTTGGTCCAATAGCAAGGGTGGCCTTACCTCATGGCATAGGTATGACACCCAGCTGGCCCTCTCAGTGGATGGCTGTAGAGTAGGACATTCAATTCTGAAGGCAGCATTTTGGAAAGTATCTCAGCATCTGTCACTCTCTTCGCTGGACTCCCTTCCTGTCCCAGACTCCCCTAGAAGCAGAAAGCTCCTGAGCTGCTTGGTCTCCACAGGGCTTGGCCCAGGCCTTCCTCCTGCACTGACGGCTCTCAGCTGTCTTCAGGTGGAGCACCTTAAGCCTCTACCACAGACCCATCCAGGCATTTGGATAGCTGACTGATTTTTAAAGGCATAGAAATGGTTATTTTGATGAAACCATTACAATACAACTGATGCTTATGCTCGTCACAGTAACCATGTTTATTATGGCCAGCAAACCGGGGCACCTGTAGGAGCTGCCAGGTAGCCTGCAGGCATCCTGAGAATGGACTGATGGGCAGGCAGAGGTACAGGTGTGGGGAAAAGCAGCTGTAGCAACATGTACAACACAGAATGCAGCGGGGAGGGGTTGTGTGGATATTCCCTGTCACCAGATGACCCCTGGCTGGTTATCTGTATAAATTGCACAGAATTTAATTAGTGATCTCTGTTACATCAAAAACTATGTGTGGTGTGTTAAAGATGCAAGAGTCCCTCTGTGCGTTCGGTGTTCATGAATTCTGCCTAATTGATTTCTATCACTTTGGAAACAGCTGGACTACAAGAAACTGTATGAGTCCAACAAAGCCTACTGGAAGTGGACGCCTGACCGACCAGACTTCATCCAGGCTGCCAAGGCATCTCTGCAGCAGAGCGACGTAAGACAGGAGACACAGGCGCAGCGACTTTTGTAGTGCTGTTGTGGACCTTAGCCATGAGCTCAGGCTCGAGATGGAGAGAAGGGCTGAGGAGAGTGAAAGGCGAGCTCAGCCATGGGCCTGGCCACTGCGCCCACTGTGCCACGGCTGCAGTAGGCGCCCAGGGCTCAGTTGTGATTGCGGGTGGTGAGGCCCCGGGGCAAGGCAGGATGGGAAAGCTTGGTCCTGGTTCCTAGGAAGAAAAAAGAACCCCAGAAACTGCCCCTTCATTCAGAGGACATGGCCTCATCTCCCCCTAAGAGGACTCCCCTTGAGGTTATTCAGATGCCCAGCTTCCCCTTTGCTTGGACCCACTCTTTCTCCCTCTGATTTTCTTCCATCACAGTTTGAATACAAGTTGGACCGAGAGTTCCTCAAGGGCTGCAAGCTTTCTGTCACTGATGACAAAGACATGGTGCTGGCTCTCAGGAATTCTGTGATAGAAAGTGACGTAAGTATCCAGTTTCTTCCACTGGACCTAAATTCCTGAGGCCCATCCTCTGTGGCACAGTCTCCAAGGCCACCCAGGAGAGAAAAAAAAGGTCAGATCTATAGAAGCTGAGGTGTGGTCCTGAAACATGGTCATGCCCTCAGTGGACACCAGTGGTGTGGCTGGTATGGCTGTGCAGAAGCTATAAAATCCAGGCCACACACTCAGCCTGTGCTCACCACCAGCAGCTAACCCAGCACACACTGGGAATCTGAAAGCTAGCTGCATTCTGCACATGTGTTCTTCTCTTCTGTGGCATCATCTTCTTCCTATACTGCAATTTTCTCACCTTTAAAGAAAAAATAATGCCTCCCAGGGCCAACCAGAAAGTGAAATGACACATTTGAACATGCTTTGAATTAATGTCTACCTATAGAGACCCATCGTGTGAAACATTTTGATTGCTATCAAAACCTGAACTTGCAGGTGATAAGGAAAACCTTCCTTTGGATATTTCTCAGGATTTCTAGGCATTAGAATCTTTGAATGAGTTTTATGATCTCAGTTTGTCACCAATGCTATTTGCCAAGCTGTAATCTAGTGATTTGGGGGATTAATAAAAATGTGCTCCCCCCTCCACACAGCTGAAATACAAAGAGAAACACGTCAAGGAAAGAGGAACCTGCCACGCTGTACCTGACACCCCTCAGGTCCTCCTCGCAAAGACTGTCAGCAGTCTGGTGTCTGAGGTAACCTTCCAGCAACCCATATGCTCAGCTTTCATCTTGGTTGGGTGCCGGCCCCAGACAGACACTTTAATGATCTCCCCATGGATTCCCTCAGAACAAGTACAAGAGCCATGTCAAGAAGCACCTGGCCCAGGGCTCGTACACAACCCTGCCGGAGACCCGGGACACAGTTCATGTCAAGAAAGTAACCAAGCATGTCAGCGACGTAAGTGGAGGGCCGTGGGTCTCTCACTTTACCTTAGGATCTGGGGAAAACCGTGCACTGCCTTTTTGGTTACAAATGCTTTCCTTTATGTAGCTTCGTTCTTACCATCAGTATTTACATGAGAACTCTAAACTCTAGTTTAAAATATTCTGCGTTTATTGGCTTTTCAAGTTGTGGTAATTATGACCGATGAGGGTTCTGCATGATCGTATTATCTAAATACACAAGCTGTCATTAAACATGCTGATAAGTGGAGGAAGCATTGCTGATTAAGGGTGTCCTACCTGCTATACAATTTTATTATTTTAATTTCAATTTTTTCTTTTCTTTTGTTACCTGTTTGTAGTACGTAATGCTTACCTTCCTTGTGTGGAGCTGATACACACCCATGACACATCAAAACACTTGTTTCTTCCTCTTTCCCTCCCCTCCTTCTTTCTGCTATCTCTTGGTCCTCTTCTCCTTTAAGAAAGGTCTATCTGCATGCTTCCTATTATCTTTCACTTTGCTCTTTATTTATTTGTTTTCTTATTTATTTTATTTTATTCTTAATTTTATTGAGAAACAAATAGCAATGAGACAGTTTCAAAACAGGTTAGTAGGACAGTTACAATAATTAGTACATTGCATATTGTTGTCTTCATAGTAGTTTCCTGGAAGGGAAAGTAGGAGGAATTCTTGAAGACATAGACGTAAGCAAAGAGTTCATGAACAAAAATCAAATTGCACAGATAATACTTGAAAGAATTAACAACTGGGTCCTCCTCTTATTGAGAAGTTTTTGCATGTCAAAAGAAATTACCAATAAAGTGAAAAGACAACCCACAAACTGGAAAAAAATCTTCACTATTAAGCACTCAGACAAAAGTCTTCTCTCTAGAATTTATATAAAACTAAAAAACATTAGCAAGGGGCCGGGGAGATGGCTCAGTAGAATAAGTGCTTCCCTGGCAAGCATAAGGGTCTGAGTTCAATCCCCGGTTCCACCAAAAAAAAAAATTAGGGCCCCAAAATTTAAAGACCCAATACAGAAATGCTCTTTATTTATACCTTAGAGCTCTCATACAAGAGAAACCATATGCTATTTAAATTTGTGTGTTTGACTTATTTCCTATACCATTTTGATCCCAGGGAGCAGCTCCTCAGTTTAAAGAGATTAAGTCACCTTTTTGTGCTTCAGTGATCTTGTCCTACTCTAGCTTTATTAGTAGTATTGTAGCCATCCTGTTATTATGTCATATATTGTGTGTGGTTTCATAAATTTTTAAAAGGTAGAAATGGTGAGGAATTAGTTTGATTTGCTTGTGCTCAGCTCTCCAGAGATTGCGGGGTGGCTCTGGCAGTGTGTTCCAGCACAGATCCAACAGAGAAGAATCAGAACATGGGCCAGAGATCTAAGCACCAGAATGATGCCAAGCTAGGCGAGCCTGGGTTTTCCCAGAGATCTCCAAGTTTTTCAAGTAACTCACTTTTGCTCTCAGCTTCTTTTTCTCACATAAATCATTTTGACTCTCTTTAGACAAATTACAAGAAGAAATTTGTCAAGGAGAAGGGCAAGTCCAACTACTCCATCATGCAGGAGCCCCCAGAGGTGAAGCACGCCATGGAAGTGGCCAAGAAGCAGAGTGACGTATGTTTCCCACCAGCCTTCGCGAGCCCCTGTAGCAGGGAATCCCACATGGGTGCCTGCTCTTGTTCCAAACTGTGCTCACTTTGAGTCTGTGCTCCCATAGTTTAAAAATATGGTGGTAGCAGTGGGGATTTATTCTATTTTGAATAAAAAGGTTGTTTGATGCTTAATGAGGACTTTTGTGAAGACAGCATATCTCAAGGGAGTAAACATTTTCTTCCCCACATAAAGGTTGCTTACAAAAAAGATGCCAAAGAGAACCTACATTATACCACAGTGGCTGATCGGCCAGACATCAAGAAGGCCACGCAAGCAGCCAAACAGGCCAGCGAGGTAAGGGTGGTAGCTCAAATGTCTCAAGCCCCCAGTGGCCTCTGCCAATTGCAGCAGAAGGTGCTTACTGCCAAGAATGCATCACATGTCTGGGTTCTCTCTGATTCAGGTGGAGTACAGAGCCAAGCACCGTAAGGAAGGCAGTCATGGCTTGAGCATGCTTGGCCGGCCGGACATTGAGATGGCCAAGAAGGCAGCCAGGTTGAGCAGCCAGGTAATGCAGGTTGGAAAATGGCAATTCTAGTGTGGAAGGATTTTGAAACTTTGCAGACAGAAGTAATTCCCAGAATGAAAGTGCATATTAACAGCTGAAGAGATACTGCTAGCTTTGAAAAGCACTGAGCACTTACTTTCTATTTCCTCCCTCTATCTATTGTAGACCTTTCTTATTCTCTACTTTGCCATTTATGGGTAGTATGCATCTGTGAGTCTGTGTACTTAACTATCATCATGTGACAAAAGGACCTCACTCTAGATAGTAAGATTCACATCGTGAGGGTCTGATTCCTACTTGAGTCACCTACAGACCTGTTAACATACAAAGATCATGCAATTGTAACTTCTCAAACTCAACCAGATGAAATATTTTTCTTCTTGTGAGTGGTAGGTAGTGGCAGTGCTGGGTGACTCAGGACCTTGTGTGTGCTGGAGCATGTACTCTAGCACTGAACTATGTCATCAGCCCTTTTTAGTTTACTTCGAGATGTAGTCACACTGTGTGGCCCAGACTGACATCAAACTTGCAATCCTCTTGCCTGAGTCTTCTGGATAGGATTACAGGCATGGGTACAGTGCCTGGTAGGAACCATTTATTCTTGCATTCATGTACTGAATGCCGGGACTAGCACTACAAGTTCAGAGTGCATTTCTCTGGATAAATAATTACGGTCTGGTGTGGTGAGTGTTTGACCAAGAGTGTTCAGAGAATTCTTCCTTCTAGTAGACTACGTTTTATTGAGGAGAAGCTGGACACAGAAATGTGTTGTCCAAAGCTGAATTCCACATTACCCAGGTTCCCTTGTTGGATTAGTTGTCTGTGCTTAACCTTGACAGGTTTTCAGACTTTCCTCACAGACCCCTACTACCAGATCTTACAGACAGCAAGTTTTGTTCCCATAGAACGTGAACTCAGGGATACCATGTCTCACCTCCTGTTCAGAGATCTTCATCTTCTTCATTGTCCATTCTCTTCAAGTCTTCCAGTAAATGGGCTTGGCTCTGCACTTCTGGCTGTTGCGTACTGACTTTCAGCAGCACCAAGTGTGAGAACCCAGTCTCGAGGACGATACTGTATAAAGAGTTAATATCAAGCGATAAAGCAAGTAGGAATTAGGAAAAGACAAAAGGCTCAGGCGACTGGGGACAAGCAAGATTTGTTTTGCAGTTTTTGTATTTAAAATTTCTGTGCAGTACTTTTACTATAAGTTAATAGAATTATATAACCACTTGAGACCAAGAAGCAAAATCACTGACAAAAAAAGTGGAACCTCAGAGTAAATCAAATGTTCCAAGAACTTAGATAGAATTTTTAAAAAGTATTTTCAGTTTCTCAGGTCGTATCAAGTCAAAAAAGAAAATTTAATGTTGAAACTTTGAAAACTTCACTGTTTTAAAAATCAAGAGGCTCATATTTCTAATCCTAAGTGAATCATGTGTTGTGAAGAATAGGACCCAACAAGGTCCTTTTCGGAGCTCGTCTTCCTGGGCTCACCTCCTGTGAGAGGTTTGCCTCAGGTTTCACAGCTTCGTGGTGTGGTCTTCAGCTCCAGGTGGACCTCAGCTAGGCTCTCCCTGTCCTGGCTTTGCGGTCTCACTTCATGCTCTGGGCAGATAATGCCACAGGCCAGAAGACAAGGCCTGGGCACAGTACCGTGTCTTTTTGGTGTGCTCCTCGGTGATACAAGACTGGACCACAAGCCGGTGTCCCTGTCTTTCTCTTTCTCTCATCTACTTTCTTGGCCTTGATGGATACAGTTGCACCTTTTTTCTCCTGTCAATTTTCTGTTGAAATGTGTAGAAAGCTGTGTAAATTGGTAGAAGGATATACTTTGGTAGACACATCTCTTTTTGCTGCATGAAGTTTTCTCTCAGGTATGTGCTTGGAAGGAGAAAATAGTCAAGATGTGGAAAGACAGACAGCACACTTAAGGCTGCTGACTGGATCAAATTAAATGATGCAGTGAAAACAAACTGAGCATCTCATCTCTGACTGTGGTAGTCAGGGTTTGCAAGGGAGACAGTTTAATACAGGACACATCATGTATAGGATTATTTTTAAATAGTCACCCAAAGAGTCAAATGCAAAAGAGTGCCGGAAAATGTCCACATCCTAAAGACCCAAAGAATCCAGCTGAGGGCCTGGATCCCATGGCAATGCCCTAATAAGCCCCACTGGAGGCCTCGAGCACACGACAATGACTCATGACATGATTTCACTTCTGCACTGGGAAGGCCCAAAGGTCAGTGGTAGAAGCTAGAAAGTGCACCAGAGGAATGAAGGCTCGATGCCAGCAGGCTGAGGGATCTACACAGGAAGCAACACTTAAGGTAAGGACCAGAGCTCCCACAAAAAGTACCACAGCCATCCTCAGTGACAACGGTCCCAAGCTCCTTCAACATGAGACCAGCCAAGCTCCTATCAGGAAAGCCAGTGTGACACGTTTCTCCAGAACCTGCAGCACCACCTCTTCCTCTCCATTTCTGCCTCTCATGCTGCTGGCAACAATCCTCAGGTGGGCCTTCCACCCCCAGCACCATGCTGATTCAGTTCAGTTCAGTGTTCCAAGCTGACCACCAGTTGGCAAGTCACCACACCAACTATACTAAGAAAAGCTCTGTTCTTCTGAAGTTATTTGCCATCTTTGTAATTTCAAACTCTAAGTCTGTTTACTGATACAGTGTCTCAGTTTAGACATGGTATAAAGGGCCAGGGATTCAGTTCAGTGGCATGAGCACCTGTCTGGCAAGTGATAGGTCCTGAGTTTGAGTCCCACTACCAAAAAAAAAAAAAAAAAAGACATAGTATGAATCAGCAGAGTAAACCACATTCTGACTCATCTTTGACTTTTACCCTTTTTTATAATCTTTACAGCATAAACTGTTTGTTAGTCTTTATAAGTACCAATATATGTTTATTTTCTGAAAACATCTGAACAATTAGACATTAAACTGCTTCCAAAAACTTTGGAAAGATATTTAATTCGTAACCACTTCCCCAGAATATATCCATATAGGCCCAATATCTAAGCCAGGTGGAATAAGAGAATACTGTCCTTGGCCTTGCTAGTCCATGACACTGCAGTTACTTCACAGGTTTCCATGGTTTACAAGAAAAAGAATGCTTTGAGACTGGGCATGGTGGTGTGCACCTGTAATCCCAGCTCTTGGGAGGATGAACACAGGCGGATCACTAAGAGTTGGGTCTACATAGTGAGACCCTGTAAACCTTTGCTAAAAAATAAAAATTTAAAAAAATTAAAAAAAGAAAGAGAAAAAGGAAAAAGCAGGCTTTGGACCCACCCCACAGTGCCACATGCGCCCAGTGCTACCACCCTTACCACTTGGTTCAACACCATTCTATGCTTCCTAAAGTCGTGGACCATTCAAGATATAGTCGTTCTTAAGGAGAGCCAGCAGGGCTTTGATTCCTATTAGCAACCCCAATCGTGTGAGGTTGTATTCGCAGGGATGGCCTTCCTGTGGAGGCAGAAACTTTTTTTTTTTTAAGTTGCAAATTTATCTTGATCTCATTCGTGGAGTTCTGATCATTTTGGTCCCTCTCTAGAACATCTTTCAGTAGCCTGTGTAGGGTCGGCTTTGTCATCACGAAATTCTTTGGCTGTTTTTTTTTTTAATTTGTGTGTGTGTGTGTGTGTGTGTGTGTGTGTGTGTGTGTGGCCAGCTCAGCCCACCAGGGGGCGGGGCAGGCTGGCATGTGGTGCTGGGGGATTGAACCATGGTCCCTGTGCTTTGCTAAGCTTGTTTTAAGTAGGTGCTTTAGACTACTGAGCCATCTCACTAGCCCCTGGCTGTTCTTTGTCATGAAAGTATTTCACTTCTCCATCAAACTTGAAAGAGAGTTTTGCAGGGTATAGTAGTTCGGGCTGGAATTTGTTTTCATAGAGGACTTGAAGTACTCTGCTCCATGATCCTGAGAATCTCCAGAATATTTTTTTAATCTAGCAGTTAATTGGAAAGATTCTCACCCTGACTAACTATATATACTGATACCTGTGAACTAAG